TAACTTTTAACTTGGGGTTCCTGTTTTATTATAAGTTATAAGGAAATCACTGTTTGTAGTCGTCTAACACTAAGCTAGTTTCCCTGAAGAATATACCGAAGAACTGACCTAGAGTTGGAAAGTCACTGGAAATGAGACTGATTATGGGATTGGTATTAGTAGGGCAATACTTGATGGTAAAACCAGTGAAATTAGAGGATGTTTACGTAAAGAGTGTTCCGTCCAAACGTATCACTGAACACTCTCTCGCATGTCCATCTAGTGGTGGATGAAAATCGATCAGGAGTTCAATTTTTGAACACTTAGTTAACTCTAATCACACTACTCCACTAGAGTCTTCCCTTAAAATCATTTCTAAAGTCAAATAGAGCATTTTGAAAGGAATATGGACTCATTATGTGAAGCCCTGGAAATTCATCCATTCTAACCTGATCTCTATGTTCCAAAGGGATAAATCCAATCTCCAGTTTCATCCTGGTCATAATCCACCTAAGATTTCTTTCATTTTGTCTGTCAATATTATGATTTACATATCTTTTTCTTAATCTCTAATTGTTAATTTCATTATGATTGCCTCATTTTTCTAACCTGTTCCACTAACTCATGCAGTATTAAGCAACCAACCTGTAGTTCCACAATTAATTTTTCATGATTTTGTTTTAACCCATTAGCCACTGATGGACATGTACTTTTGTCGTAACTATAACTACATATTCATGGTATCTAATAGTTAATCATAGGAAAGAAAGTTTTTTTCTGAAATAACTTCTGTCAATTTGTCAAAGGAGGGAGGGAGTTCAATACTTAAGTAGAAGGCAGGTTTTCAAACACCTCTCTACTGAATAAAGATCAGACTTGAACTGGCGAAAGACGAATATCTCGGCCATTGTTAATTAGCTCGCCTTTTCAACCATTTAGTTTAAATAATATAAAAGTAAAACTTGGGCACTGTGGTCGACTGTAATTCCATTTTAGTCTGTTTATTAGAAATATCATACAGTAAAACAGTAGCATTTACTGGATAACAACGTTTCAGACACAAATCATTGTACATATTCATATCAGGCAACTAACTCCACAACTTCGAGACAGATTTTATATATTCCTAATTTTCTCTCCTCTGTAATGACAAGGGTAGTAGAACTTTCTATATATCCGGGACAGGTGCAGAAACGTTTCGACTGCCGCATCTATTCGGTGATGATTTGACGAACAAGGATTCGGTTATAAATCTCTCCTTCTACCCAACTAAGTTAGTTTTTCAACACTGTCACCCTATTCCACCTTACTGTGTGATTGTGTGTCATCGCATGTAGAGCTATAGCCGAGTTTTTCTCTAGATTTCTTATCTTATTAGGATATACTAATCTTGATACAGCTAAGTTTTTGTGCTCTGTTATTCTAATCGACCCTGGCTAGTCGACTGCTTTGACCTATGTACTTGACCCGGCAACCATTGCAAGGGATTTGGTGAACCAGATTATTTTGTCTAATTGCATCGATAGGATCTTTTAACCTACAAAGCTTGTCTCTAAGTGAGTTTGTTGGTTTGAACGCCACTTTAATGGCAGCCAGTCATATTGAGAATTCTTCGTAGTGCTTCTGGGGTGGCTTCCTTGTATGGTAGGTAACACAGCAGAGGCTTTGAATTCTCTCAACCTTGTTACCATTATTACCATTGGTAGTGGAATTAGTATAAGTAACACCCGTATTACTACTACTACTACTACTACTACCACTGCTGATGTTATTCTTTCGATTTGTTATGAATTTATTTATAAATTTTGGTGGGTAATTATTGAGACGTAGGGTATTCTTGATGTGTACATGGTATGATGCACAATCACACAGTAAGGTGGAATAGAGTGACAGTGTTGAAAAACTAATTTAGTTGGGTAGAAGGAGAGATTTATAACCGAATCCTTGTTCGTCAAATCATCACCGAATAGATGCGGCAATCGAAACGTTTCTACACCTGTCCCAGATATATGGAAAATTCTACTACCCTTGTCATTACAGAGAAGGAGAGAAAACTAGGAATATATAAAATCTCTCTCGAAGTTGTGGAGTTAGTTGCCTGATATGAATATGTACAATGAATTGTGTCTGAAACGTTGTTATCCAGTAAATGCTACTGTTTTAACTGTATGATATTTCTAATAAACAGACTAAAATGGAATTTAGCTTAACTGTGTAGATAATCTTAGAGTACCACTTTGATTAAAAAAATAGAATATAATATTGCTGTTTACTGCTTTTGGAACGTGTAATATAGCATATATAATTAATCTGATATCATGAGATAGGCATATAAATGTATAGCGGCATGACCTAAAGTAGCAGTCTGTCGTCAATTTATCCATTTATCAACTATTGTCTCAAAATTGTAAAGTTCATAGGAAAAAATATTTTTGTTGCTGGCATCGATAACCAGTTCTTTACCTTTAAAATCAGGCTTTTACAAACAGATTTTTATTTGTAAGGAGAGAAAAACCGTCAGACACTTTCATTTATCACCAATACTATTTCAACAACGAACTATATCCAATAATTTATAAGGGAAAGAAAAGACGACTGTATCCTTTACTCAAATCTGTCCGATTCACCACAACTTTTTCTCAGATTATTTGGAAGATTATGTATTACTTTGTAAACTAGTGGGAAGGAATCTTCTGGAAGTGTGTCCACTGTCAAACAAATGTTGTAATAGGGAGCTATTAATTCATCTGAGTTGACTTCTACTGAGTTATGTCAAAAAGTGTTGACGTCGACGTTGAATAGTCTACCTCTGAGTACGCCCATTGTACCCAGCTCCACAGGAGCAGGTGAATTAATATATACCTGTTGAAGTGGCTAACAATCACACTTTATCTTCCATACACGCGTTCATTATTAGATGACTAGTACTGTAAGAAAACGGCAGAGGATGAAACGCAGAAGAATGTCATAACATTTTGTACATTATTGATGAAATATGGTAACCTTTCCATGGAAATATTCTTTTGCATAATGTGTTCCATTTCCTCTTCTTCTTCTTCTTCTTCTTCTTCTTCTATCTTGTTTTGCGCTTCCTACGTCTACTTTGTCTCGTACATTTCGCTGTGCAGAATATTTACCCATCGCTGTTAACTACCTAGGACTTCTGCTTACTTCCCACCAAACACTACTTATGCTCATTCTTATCAGTAGCACCCACTACATTAGAAGTGATTTACAGAGTGACCGTATAGAATGTTCTTTTGACAGCCTTAATTATTTATCATTTTTAACAAAAAAGAGAAGGTGGTTCACTCATCAGATGTGTTTACAGGAAGACTACAACTATAAGTCAGTATACACATAATCTTAGTCATGTACCAATTCAGTACAAAGCAAACCTAATTAAATGTCTCACTAACAGACCGAGAAGAATATGTTCGGATGATCTAGTATAGAAGGAGTTAGATTATATCCGTAATTCATTGGTCGAAATGGGCTATCCTAACAGTTTCGCATAAAGATACATCGATGAAGCCAGGGGAACAAACCTGGAATTATTACCATACAAAAGAAACCGTTGTTTATGGGATTGGTATTTAATGAAAATGTAGCCGGAGAAGTATTATATCACAGACTCTCTAGAGCCATTACGAGGACCTTCTAAGCTGCAAAACTCTGTCTATCATTTTCCAGTCGACCAACTGCTGTCGCTCAAACAAAAGATAATGTATCTAGTTTTGTCATTTCTCTATGTATTGACAAGTTTAGCTGCTCATGTGGAGAAAGTTATATGGGGTGTACTACTAGACAACTTAACCGACGTGTAGCTGACCATTTACCTTCATGATTGGGAAGGGGACAGATGAATCCACTAGAAGTTCCATTTTCTATCACCTCGTTTATAGTGGTCACTTGGTAGATAAGAACAATCCTTTTTTATTCCCATTTTATTCACCCCATACCACCACCTCATCTTTCGAAGCCTATTCAAACTCGTCTTCTACAACACATACCAAAATACGTACTCATTCCAGCTAATAATTCTAGTCTGTGTATCCACAAGATGTTTGTACAATCTCCCTTATCTCCTCTTTCACCATAGAATACTTAGTTAATAACTATCATTCAGTTGTTGCTTTTTTTCCTACCCCTTTACTTATTCTTCACCTCTTTTATATACTTACTGCGTTTTTCGATACTTTCTTTATCCACCTACCTCGTCCTTCAGGATTACATAACCTTCGTTTTCTCAACCTTTGGCCTACTTTGATTATAGCGGTGTCTGCATTTTCATGCTGCTTTCCTGGCTCTTATCATCTTTATCATCACCTATATTGCATGTGCTTTAGTCAACGTTATCACTTTTATCATTATTATTATTATTATTACTATTATTTGACTATCTCAAATAGCCGTAGTTTGACAGAATAGTATTTATACTGGGTAATGATTGAAGGTGAGATGAAAATCTGGACCACGGTCGGATTCAAACCAACAACCACCGGGCTATCGGGCCGGTACTCTACCAACTGAGCTACGAGGTCCGACTCCTCACTAGATTTTCATTTCACTTCAATCACCAAGAGTTTTTCCCGACCACCATGTGAATTCGTGACGCGTTACTACCACTTGATCGTATTCACACTGACTGCTGCCTAGTCAGGACTTCTCATCCCAATCCAAATGTAAGTAAATCAGAGAAGGGTAGCATCATATTGATTATGATTTGACTATGTGAGACAGCCGTAGTTTGGCAGACTAGTATTTATACTGGGTGATGATTGAAGGTGAGATGAAAATCTGGACCGCTGCTGGACATGTACATTTTCATCTCATCTTCGATCATCACCCAGTATAAATACTAGTCTGCCAAACTACGGCTATCTCACATAGTCAAATGATAAGCTATTTGTATTAGAGCAAAGCCTGAAGAGGATCTAATTGAAAACAATATTGTTCGCTCATATATATACATATAACATGATTTTTATTCACGCTTATTTTTATTCCCTAAAATATAGCCGACTACAATGGAGAACGGTAAATGCATGCAAACATTTATTGGAACTTCTGCAGCTGCACCAATGCTCTCTGGATGTATTGCTCTAGCACTAGAAGCAAAGTAAGTTGTAAGATATATCATCTCAAAGTATTTAAAATGAATACAGTTAATAGTAAGCTAGAATGCAAATAGCTGGAATCCCACTGTGTCCTGTCTCGTAAATAACTTCACAGTTTATTTTGATGATGATGATGGTGAATCATTCTGAAATGGTTGTCAATGAGTAAGTAAACATGAAATCAATCAATCGATTAACAGGTCATTTGAATACCTTTGTTTACTCGCATTACCTCCAGGTTTCTAAATATGTAGGAGAATCTTTCTGTAAACAATACAGCAAGTCGGCTGTTACGCATAGACTAAGACGGAACATGCGAACGTAGAACCTCACAGACAACTGCATTAAGTCAACTTGCCACACTTCACGATAGTATATGGAAAACAGGTGGATAGAAAAAGAGTTATATCAAAGTAGACAAACTTTCATAAGGGAATAAATAATCTGAATAAAACCGTTAGTGTGAGTATTCAACGCTTAAAAGACGTCAAGGAGTGAATACAACTATGACATTGTGACCTATTTTCATTCATGTCATCAACTGTCCTGTCACCTCAGGTACCACAGACAGATGGTCTACATCTTCCCAGACGGCCCAGACTAACGGTCAGGTGATTCATTGACCAATGCCACGTCTTCGTTTGGCCACTCTGAACAAACTTCTAAGTTAATCCAACTTCTAGCAAGTTAAACTGAAGTAGTCGGTGGCTTGTCATGTGGCGTAAATGTCCAAGCCATCTAGGATGCGTAAAATTCACGAATAATTCCAGAAAAATCATAAATTTAATCAAACGATTTATAGTCTCTTCACGTTTTAAAAATAACTTGCAAGTGTCAAATCATCAGTGTGTATAAAGCATCAGTTGTTCATAGTACAAACACAAGGAGAGAAGCATCAGTGTAAAGCTTAGGGTTTTCTTTAGACGAAGCTAACCATTAATATAAGTTTAGAACTTGGGCACTGTTGTAGGATATAATTCTATATCAGATTTGTTTATTTGATATACAGTATTATTTACCTGATAACGTTTCCAGAATAAATTATTCTTCATAATCATATCACACAGCACTTCCGATATCTGATTTTTATAGTCCTGTCACCTGATATTCTTTTTTTTGTTGGTAGTAAAATTTTCTTCATCTATGGTATAGGTGGTTCATCATTTCTATTACATGTATTGGTTGGGTGTTGATTCGATGAACAAAGATTCAGTAATCAATCTCTCTCTCCACTTAATTATATTGCACTTAAGCGATTATTGTTATTATTAGTCCCTTGGGTTCCTAATGGAACATAGGGCTTCAGTAGGACATCTCCAGTGAACTCTGTTCTCTGCAAACTTTTGAACCTGGCACCACGACAGCCCAAAAGCTCTCATTTCCTCCTCACACGATCTCCTCCATGTCACCCTCACCTCGGACGGACAACTTATCGCTTCCCATGGGGATTCCACTCGAGGGCCTGGCCTGGTGTGTGATGTCCCCAGTCGGCCTTCTCAGTGTATGCCCAATCCATCTCCACTTCCACTTTCTTCTGCATACTTGTTGACTGATAGGTTCTTGGTTGGTTCGTTGCCTGCCAGCCAGCTAGAGTTCCTTGTTGCTTATTCTTTCCGGCCATCTGATCTTCAATAGCGAGCGTAAGCAGGTGTTGATGAATGTCTGTAGTTTATTGGAAATCACTTTCATAACGCTCCAGGTCTCTGAACCATACAGAAGCACTGACTTGACGTTGGTGTTGAAAATCTGGATCTTGTTCCACATGCTGAGCGCAGAAGATTTACACAGTGGTTTCAGGCTAATAAACGCCTGCCTTGCTTTCCGATTCTGACTTTGATATTCTCGTCTGTGCCGCCTGGAGTTGAAACGACACTGCCTAGGTAGATGAAAGAGACTACTTCCTTTAGATTTCTCCCGTTAATGGTGATTCATACTTGTTGTTGATGCTGTTGTTGGTTGGGTATCTTCATCACCTCTGTCTTCTCTATATTCACCTGAAGTCCCGTCTTCGCTACCCTGCCCTGCCTCTTCTGCCAATTTGTTGGTTTTCGCCTATAGACCATGAAGTTTGTGTGACATCAGACACAAGTCATCGTTGGCGAAATCCAGATCTCCTAGGTTCTTTTCCGCAGTCCAACCAGCGTATCCCCCTCTTGTTGCTCCCCACTGTTTGCTGCATGATCCAGTCACCACTATCAGGAATATCATGGAGGATAGTAGGCAACCTTGTTTCTCTCCTGTCTTCACTTCAAAAGCACCACTGAACTTCCCATTGTGAATCACTTGACATGTGGCGTTTTCATATAGTTGTTGAATGAGATTGATACAGGTTTGTGGTATTCCGTAGTGTTGAAGCAGCTGCCTGCCAAATTACTTCTCGGTCGACGCTGTCAAAGGCCTTCTCAGAGTCTATGAAGTTGAGGTGAGGTGTAGAGTTGACTGCCATTCTATACTCTGTTCTATGATGATGTGAAGCGCTGCAATTTGGTCGGCACATGATTTGTACTTCCTGAAGCCTGCCTGCCTGTTCCGGTCGTAGTTTTGAGTCCAGTGCATCCTTTAGCCTCTCCATGATGATGTTGCTTAATATTTTGCTTGCTTTGGGTGGACAGGAGAGTGATTCCTTGCCAGTTCTTGCAAACACTTAGGTCACCCTTCTTCGGTAGTTTGACAAGGTAACCCTTCTTCCAATCAGTTGGCAGGTACTTTCCCTTCCTTCCAGACCTTCTGCAGTAGTGATGTGAGCATGTCGGCTGTTGTCTCTGCGTCTCAGTGCTTCTGGCGGGATTCCATCTGATCCTGCTGCTTTCCCACATTTCAGCAGCTTTGTGGCGCTCAGGGCTTCGACTTTTGTTGGAGGATTTATGTTCACTTGTAGTTCTGTGACTGGGCTGCAGGTGGTATTTTTGGATGAAGTGCAGATGATAGTGGTGGTCGATTCAAGAGCTTTTTGAAGTGGTCGGCCCATTGTTTCCTTTGTTTCTCTTCTTTGGAAATTGAATTTCCTTCATCATCTTTTATTAGTTTCATGTGTGTTGGTCTCTTCCCTGATAGTAACCTGGTTATTTGATACAATGTTGTCAGGTCTCTCCTACCTGCAGCCTGTTCTGCTCCACTTGCCAGTGTTTCGTAGAAGTGTCTTTTGTCTTTCCGGACACTCTTCCTCACTTCTTTGTCTAGTGTTTTATACATTGTACTCAGTTCCTCTTCTCGTTGTGCATCCTTGCAGTGGTTCGTCTTCTGCTTCACCATCCTCCTCTCCCTGCCCTATTAGCCTCCATGTATCCATCGAGATTCATTCCTTATCTTCTTTCTTCTTCCTTCCTAATACGGCTGTGCAGGTTTCTTTCCACATCTCTTTCAAAGACTTCTAGTGTTCTTCCACACAGGTTTCTTCAGGGATGTTGCTCGATATCTCCCATTTTGTCTTGATGACTGGCTGTCGTGAAGATTCCCTTTGTAGTTTTGTCCTTCAGTTTCCGAGTGTTGTACTTGAACTGTGGTCTATCACCAGCTTCCTTGAAGGCTTTTAACTTGATTTGGAAGGCAGGCTGCTTGCACTAGATACTGGTGTGAACCTACATCTGCTCCTCCTTTTGCCCTTGTGTCAAGTAGACTGCGTCTCCATTTTCTTGAGATTGAGATAAAGTTGATCTAATTTTTAGTGTGTCCTGGTGTCTGATGAAATCCATGTTGCTCGCTTTGCGAATATCTTTGTGCTTGAACATACTGCCTCCAATCACCGAATCGTTGAATGCACAGAATTCCGTAAACAATTCTCCATTCTCGTTCATCACCTCACCGAGCGCTTCTCGACCCATGGTTAGTTCTCTTCCTGTGTTGTCTGCTCCCAGTTTGGCATTCATGTTGCCCATTAGAATTTTGATGGCGCCGACTGGAGTGGGGTGTTGTCCAGTGTTGATTGAAGTTGTCTGTAGAATTCCTCCTTTTTCTCTTTATCTGCATTCTTTGTGGGTGCGTGGCATTGTATGATTGTGACCTTCCTTCCTTTTGAGTTGAACCTTGCTTCTATGATCCTGATGCTGGTGGAGATTGGTTCCCACTGCATGAGACCCTTCGATGCTGTTGGGGACATCATGATAGCCACTTCTTCCATGTGCTCGTGGTTGTCGTCTGGGTGACCGGAGCAGATTATTGATTGTCCAGTTGACAGTTTGGACAGTCCACTCCCATTCCATCTGCTTTCGCAAATTCCAAGCACTTCAATGTGATACCTCTTCATCTCGTTTGCAATCTTGGCTGCTTTGGTACGTTCAAACATGGTGTTGACATTCCATGTCCCCTACGTTTACTTTCACTTTCATCTAGAGAAGACATATCGGCCAATTGGCTTCTCGAAGACTTTCACCAACCGGCGTCATTTCGTCTCTCCGATTCCAGCCAAGAATAATTTTGTTATTATTTTTTATATTTCGTTTGTGCTTAGAAGTTTGTTTAGCGGTTAGATTTGTTTTACGGGATAGGGTTGCTAGCCCTATGCCCAACCTTCCCTCTTTACCAGGGCTTAGGACCGGCTAGTAACTAGTGAACTAGTTAACCAGGCGAGGTTGGACTTAAGCGATACAGTGGCTTTATCCACCACCCTATTGTGTGGTTGTCTGTTGATGCATGTATTGCGATAGCTGAGGTTCTCTTCTAGATTACTGATCTTATTCAGTTCTGTCATTCTATATTCAGCTAAATTCCTATGTTTGGCTATTCTAACTGATCCTGACCGACTGGTTTGACCTACATACTTGACCTGACTCACAGTCGTTACATGGAATTTGACAGATGAGATTATTTCACTTAATTGGTTCTATCGGATCCTTAAGCCAGCCAACAAACCTCATCATCTCTGAGTGATTTTGTAGGTTTATATGCCACCCTAATTTCACCTTTGTTGAGGATCCTACGTGAAGTTTCTGAGCTACCCTCCTTATACGGTAGGGTAACACAAATTTCTCAATAAACTGCGTAGGATAATTATTAACTATTAGCACTTCGTTTACGTGTTTCAATTCCTTGTTTAAGTTCTTGTTCTGACTAGTCAGTCTTCTAGCTCTATCACTTAGACATTTGACTAATCCTGCCTTAATTGACATTGGATGAGATGACTTGAAGTCTAGATACCTGTTGGAATGTGTTGGTTTTCTGTAAACAGTAGTATCCAAATCACCATCTGTCCTTCGTTTTATCCTGCAATCCAACATAGGCAATTCTTCTTGCATTTAGTAAAACAAACAGTGTGAGCGAAGAAATATTTCTTTTCAATTAGTTCCTCATCAATGGCTCAATGGCTCATTTTCTACCTCCTCATAAGTGAATTGGATTGCAATCACTACTGAGTTTCATTGTGTGCAGAAACTGTCGATATGCTTTGATTTCAAGACAGTGGTGAATGTGTTATTCACATATCGCCAGCATATTTTAGGTGCAGGATTAAATGCGCGTAAAGCCATATTTTCCTAACTATCCACAAATGAATCTGCTACGATTTGGGATACCAGTGATCTAATTGCTATTCCTTCTGGTTGTCTGTCATAAGGCTTGAAAATTGCGAAAGTCAGGCACAACTATACTCCTAATATGATCTCATCAACCAATACCTTAGTTCTGTGATTAGGTTCTCAGTCACTATTTAGTTGATTTCTGACTGCCTCCAGTGCCGTACTGAGTGGTATTTTAGAATGCAGACTAGTCACATCGAAGCTAATCATTTTTTCATCCTCTTCTATATGCATATCATTAAGTCTTAGTTTTAATTCAGTAAGGGTTTACTAGTCTGGAATTCGGACGGTTCCTAATAGTACATAATATCGATGCTAAGTACTTTGCTAGTTCAAATGTTGGGATTATTTCTGAAGTCAGCTATCGGTCTAATGGTATAACCTGGTTTATAAATTTTAATAGGGCCATAAAAAATGCTGACAGAATTACTAGTTTTAAGCGTTAAACTAAACCATTTAGTAAAACAAACAATGTGAGCGAAGAAATATTTCTTTTCAATTAGTTCCTCATCAATGACTCTACACTAATATAGCATTTTCAAACGATGATGACCACACGAACTAAAGACAGACTCCCTGACTTCTCCTCTTCAATGTGCATTTACCAGTTCAACTGCTCCTGTGGAGCTAGTTACATTGGACATACAGTTAGGCAAGTCCGTCGTCGAATCGCCGAGCATCATCCTTCATGGCTAAGTAAGGGGGAAACCAGACTGACACGAAGCTCAATACTCTCTCATCTGATTGACACCGGCCACCGAGTTAACATTCATAATGCCTTTAAAGTTATTTACCACATTCCTTCTCACCTCACTCATCCTCTACGAGTCCGTCTTTTACATACAGCAGAAGCCATAGGAATCCACCTACACAAGCCAAGTCTGTGTGTTCAGAAGAGATTCGTACAGCCTCTTTCTTTGCCTTGGCCATCTGTATAGCTCATTTATTACAACAAGACTCTTCATTTCATCCACCACACAATTCACTATAACTAGTATTTCAATAGCTCCATTATTATTATTATTATTATTATTATTATTATTATTATTATTATTATTATTACTATTATTACAGACTTAATCATCTTTCTCTCCCCCTACTGTCTCTAATTACCGTCAACAATTTACCATTTTAAGTAACAGTTCATTTTTGCTCTTTAGTTATCATTATACAAAATATCAATTATGTAAGAACCTGTTCGCAAAATCTTTCTACGATAATTAATCTCTGCTTTAGTTAACTGTCTTAATTACCTGATCAATTATCACCTTCTTGAAACTTTGAGATCGATAACCTTTCATTGAACAACTCTCACCACTAGATTGGTATGTAATTTTACGTTTGAAAATGCTATATTAGTGTAGAGCCATTGATGAGGAACTAATTGAAAAGAAATATTTCTTCGCTCACATTGTTTGTTTTACTAAATGTCTAAATGGGAATTTTTGCATTACTAAACCATTTAGACTGACCTAGAGATGACTTTGGTCGGCGTATCAGATCGCCTGTTGATTTCTTGATTTTATTCATCACCGTGTCAAAGGTTTATTGATCTCTTCGTATGGTCCTATTTGGATATGCTTGTTAATTTTGTTTAAATAATAATAATCTAATTTGTTGATAATTACTACTGAACTGCCTTTATCAGATTTAGTAATTATTATGTTATTGTGATTTTACAGATTATTCAGAGATGAATTTTCAAGTTTTGTTAAGTTTCGTTGTCTCTTCTTTAATTTCCTCAGTGTTAATGTATACTATTCTCTAACCTGCTTAGCAGTTACTGCATCCATTGAGCTTAATATTGCTTCTATGAAGGGTACGACGTCTTCGCGTTTTAAAAAGACTTATTGTTAGGTCTTTATAAATCAGATGTCGAAAGTGCCATTACATTGGTATGATTATGAGCTGGAAACGTCATGAAGTAAATTATAGTGTATCATTGTGCAGTATATATCAAATAAATATATGTAATATGGAATGAAGCCAACCAGTTGAGGGGATAACTAGCGTGTGAAATGCGCACAACCAATTACTAGATACTTAATAGTTACACGTCAAATGAATCAGTGTAAAAGAATTTACAGAACCGTTAAATCAGGATATGAAGTAATTTCCTGATATGCTTAGCTTTCGTCAAAGCTGTATGCATAACATTAGGATTAATGAGTATTTCCTGATCAATAACCGAGAATATCAGTCAAAGATACATTGAGTAAAGACTGAACACTAGGAGTTATTATTATCATTATTTGCTACTTGGGTTCCTAGTGAAACATAAAGCTTCAGTAGCACGTCACCATTTCACTCTCATCTCTGTAGTCTTTTCAACAAGACTCCACAATCCCCTGCAAGCTTTCATTTCTTCCTCACATGATCTCTTCCATATCATCGTCGCCTCAAACGCCCAACTCGTCGTTTACCATTCACGTTCCACTCGATGACCCGGTCTGACGGCTGATGTCCCCAAACCGTCTTCTCAGTGTATGTCCAATCCATCTTCAATTTCTTCTTATGCACATTTGTTGGGCGGTAGCCTCTAGGTTGTTTCTTTGGCAGACCAGAATGGGTTACTTGTTGCTTATTCTTATTATTCTGACCACCTGATCAATCCTCAGTATCGAATGAGCGTAGACGGCCGTCGTTCATGTGATGCATGTCTGCAGTTTGTTGGAAAAACTTTTCGTGATGTGCTAAGTCTCTCAACTATGACATAGAAGTATTGACTGACTTGACTGACATTTCTGCTGAAAATCCGGAAGTTGTTCGCACTTTATGTTGAGTGCAGAGTGGTGCAGTGCATTGCAGCAGGTCTCCACACTGACTTCAGATTAATGAAAACCTGTTTTGCTTTTTCAATCCTAGTTTTGACGGCTTCATGTTTGCCGCCGCCTGTAGTTGAAACGATGCTTTCTAGGTAGGTGACAAAGAACGCTTCCTTCAGATGTCTCCCGTTGATTGCGATTGATACTTGTTGTTTTGGGTTGGGTATCTTCATCACCTCTACCTCTGTCTTCTCTACCTTCACCTGAAGGAAGTTCCTTCTTCACTGTCTTGCCTCGCCTCTTCTGCCAACTTGTTAGTTTTCGCTTGTAGATCTTCGAGTTTGTGCGACATAAGACATTAGACATAAATCATCATCATCATCGACGAAATCCAAATTTTCTTCTGGGGGTCTTTTCATCGCATCGGTCAAGCAGCGTTAGCTCATCTTCTCACCTCCAACAGTTGCTTGTTGCATAACCCAATGGAGTCGAGTAGACCACAATGAGGAAGATGATCGATGATATTAGGCGGCAACCTTGTCTTACTCCTGTCTTCACTTCAAAGGCATCACTGAGCTTCCCATTGTGAATCACTTGGCATGTGTTGTCCACATACAGCTGTTGAATGAGGCTGATGAAGATTTGTGTTACTCCGTAGTGCTGAAGCAACTGCCTGTCAAATTACTTCTCGATCAACGCTACCGAAAATCTTTTTAAAGTCGATGAAGTTGAGGTCGAGTTGACTGCAATTTTATGCGGTGTTCTATGATGATGTGTAGCGTTGAGTTTCGTTGCAAGTTGATCTGCACATGACCTGTTTTTCCAGAAGCTATCCCGCTTTTTCCAGTCGCATTTTTTAGTCTCTCCAGGATGATGAGGCATACTAATTTGCTTCAGGTGGACAGGTGCATGATTCCGCGCCAGTTTTTTCTCTCTTTATACATAGTTGAAATTGCTCTTAAACCTTACTATCAGTAAGTCTGATGATAATAGAAGTTTCTTAGACATTTGTAGTTTGATTACTGATTCAGTTCTGTGATCCGTTCAGATTCTGACCAGTCAACACATTTTAGTCATTCATCACCTGACGATACTTATAACCATACTACAGGATGTTAACATTGAAGGTGAATTGATAAAAAAAACATAGAATTCTGCAAACTGCAATACTACCTTTGGAATTTCAAGAAGAACAAACCTGCATCTTTATAGTTAACTTTAAACAGTATCATGTCGGTTCTCCAAGCAGTCGTTTCTAACATTCTAAGAACGTCATATGGAAACTATGCCTTTTTTACGAAGTTTATACCACAACATAGTCAATGACTTCATGAATTCACAGCGACTTTGATGATTTGTCCCCACTGACTACTTTTTTCCTAACTACTATTCTGGCTGACAATTCATGTCCTGATAAGAAAACGTCCACATATATATGATACACATCCAAGACATCATAGTTGGCGCAGACTTACATTTTTCAACACTTCAAAGAAGCTGCCATTGTACAGTCTTATCAGTCTCTAAAATAAACGATGCACTTAGTGACACTAGGGGAAACTGTTGTAATTTCTGCGGTTTCTAATTTTTTTTTAAAACTTCATTATTAATTGATGATATTTGACATAGGAAGATTATTCACTGGTTTGTTTATTTTTTCAGTCCTAAACTAACATGGCGTGATGTAGCGCATCTTCTACCTTGGAGTGCCCGTATTCCTAATCCAGCTGATAAGGGATGGACAGTCAACGGAGCTGGATTAATTCATCATCCATATTTCGGTTTTGGTACAATCGACTGCTATCGTATGGTATACCTAGCTAAACAATGGAATTTAGTTGGACCATTGTGTGTATTAACCTATGACAGTGAAATACATAATGTGCCTGATAAATGGGCCAGTTTACAAGGGGCTAAACAACCAAATGCGAAACATTTATTTCAATGTGATGACAATTGCATATCAGCGATTGCTCAAGAATATGAAACACAATATACAAGAAGCTGGTAATTTATTTTACCATAATTTTGATCATTACTAATACACTAAAATGCGTTTATGCTTCCCTTCCTTCTCCGGATACTATTACTACTACTACTACTACTACTACTACTACTACTACTACTACTACTACTACTACTACTACTACTACTACTACTACTACTACTACTACTACTACTACTACTACTACTACTACTACTACTACTACTGATAATAATAATAATCATAATAATAATAATAGTAATAGTGTAGTGGGCGTTGGTCATCATAATGGATATAAGTAGTGTATGTTGAGAGGGCGGCAGAAGTCATAGGCAATTACCAGCAATGGGTAAAGATTCTGCCCAGAGAAACGCAAGACACAATATGGTCTGTCACATTAGGAGCGAGTCAAGATAGAAGCGGAAGAGGAAATGAAATACATTATGCAAATGACTGTGTTGGTGGAAGGTGTACAATATTTGATGACTACTGTACAAGATCTCAATTCTGAACATTCATTCTTGAACCGTCATATGCCGCTTTTACTCTACCCCTCAGCAACATCCCAAGCACTACAACCTTTGCTCCTTTGCTCCTAACTTCGCGACCGACTCAAAGTCCCTGAGGAAGACCTTGATATCTCCATCATCGAACGCTGCAGGATACGGAATCTTCATCACATCCAAAAGCAGCTACACCAATTGTAAGGTACAGTAAAACAGAGACTCACTACGCAATGTTTATCATTGATATCTTGTACAGAAGTCATCAAATATTGTACACCTTCCACCAACACAGTCATTTGCATAATGTACTTCATTTCCTCTTCCGCTTCTATCTTGATTTGCTCATCATATGACAGACCATGTTGTGTCTTGCGTTTCTCTGGGCAGAATCTTTACCCATTGCTGGTAACTGCCTATGACATCTGCCGCCCTCCCAACATATACTACTTATATCCATTCTCATTAGCAGCATTCACTACACTACTACTCACACAGCTGCTTCTTTGTATTAGTATTTTTAGTAGTTAACTTGCTACCAGTGGGTCGTGGATTCGAGGTTTGGGCAGTCAGGTGGAATCATTAACCCTTATGTAACAGATGTGGCTGATTGCCTACTATACGAATGTCCAAATGGTTGATGATAGCATTTCGTTTCAACTAATACTACACAAACTACTACTACTGCCTTTCTTTTTACATAGTTAAATAAACTAGAAATCCCGTAAGATATTTACAACCATTTTTAGCAATTTTCTTCGCTTGACAACATTTTATTGCCAATGTGTGTCTTACTTTGGTATAAATCTCCTGTAGTCCGAGTAAAAAGATGTGATCTGTGGCGTTGACCAATGGCATGTGACAAAGACAATGCAGTATATCACGAAACGATGGAACTTGGATTTATAGATCCCTGAATTTCAATTCAGTAGATAAATAATGATAACTATAATGGACAGTCTGTGTTAGCTGACGGTTATAGGTTATGGGTTCTCGCTTGATGTCATGGGGTATACTGTTGAGTTGAAAGATAGGACAAAATGGATGATCAACGTCTACACACTTCTGAATGATTTTCTATGTTATCTCACGTTGAGATGACCATTTTTACTCTTTACCTAAAACAGACTTACATGTTTCCAGCTGAATGTTACTTCAAAGCCGGTGGTAGAAGATAATTAGCCCTTCAAACAACAGGTGTTACTGCCTACTGCATGAATATCCACAAGGTTCTTGAGTAGATGTAGACTTTTTCAATGAGGCACTTTTCAGTCTTGACGATACATAACTGTTAACTTATTTAACAAAGTTGCATGTTCATGTTGAAATCTCCCTGGCTGAATAAATTGATAAACGTTACACTGATCTGATTGGTTGATATGTTTTGTTTGAATGAAGTAAAAACAAGTTAGAAGTCAAAATTTCCAAATACAAGCGGGAAAATGTATTTGTATTTCCTCGTAAGAAAAAAGTAACTTTAACCTGATTAGTAAAAGATTTCTTGTAAGGCTTAAATATATTTTTCCAGCAGATCAAGACCACTAATATAACCAATAATAGGTTTGGGTATAGAAAGGGATGTGCTTATTTTTATGGATATATTTTACAAATAAGTAGTTATACTTTTTCTGAAGGTTAGTGCTTTTGTACTATCCCAAAAGTTTTCAAGTTTAGTACTCTTCTTTAAGCTTGTAAATGTGTGAACTTCACTGGAAAGAAAAGTTTTATTTCAAAACAGTTTTCTTCTTATACGGATGCTAACGAAAGCATATCTTACAACCAAAGGTTCAATATAAACTACACATAACAATTGTCTTATTGGATGGAAGACCACTGAACGAAATGGAAGAAAAATAGTTTGAATAATGATGTCGAATGATGAAAAGAACCAGTACTCAACAGTGAACATTAGAATCAATCCTAGTAATAGAAGCGATGAACCAACTAACCTCTACGGTGAATATTTGTTGCTCATAATGTGCATTTCTAAAGTGAGTTCGGTTTATCCGTATAGTGAACTTGAAGATATTTGGGGTTTTGGTGATCTCGACTTGACAGAAGTAGGAAAATGTGGAACATTGGATTTTGACTTGGTGGCTCAATGTTAAAGTGCTGAATATGAAACCTGTAGGTCTTAGGCTGGGTTTCTGGAGTGCAATGCTGAGGAGTCTTACAGTAGGACGGAATAACTGTCCAGTACTTCCAGGTTTTCGGTGGTTCTTCAACTAGTGTTAGTTCGTAATGAATACCAACTTGAAATTAAGAATGGGTGATTAAGGCTTCGGAAAGAACCTAATCCTCAACGAAACAAAATATACTCTGAAAAGGATCAAAATAGAATACTGAGGATATATATGTGTCAGATTTTTGCACAGAGTTTGGTTCTACACTGAAAACTACAGGAATAACAACAGAAAAACGACAAAAACTATGACAGCCAGTTATCCAGTCGATGAAAAACAGAGGAAAGAAGTATCAGCTCAAAGTATGTGAAAAGAAGCCACTGAACTTGCTTATATGAGACAAGAAAACTGTGATACAACCAGTAAACAAGTGAAGTAAAACTGTCCTCCTGAACACAGGAGACTATGTGTTAAAAGTTTGAGAATTAGGCAGTGACAAAAACATTTACCAACTAGTACATAACAATCTTATCAATCAACTGGACAACTATATTCAGCAAAAATTAAGCAATCCAGTCAAAGTCAATTAACAGAAGGATAAAAGTGGTGAATGAAGATTCTATGTTGGACCAAAAGTACAAAAGGCAGATATTCCAACGTGACAACTAATGTAATAACTGGAAACACTATTTTATTCCCTAGAATTATTATGCAATATTTTAAAACATCTTGTTAGTGGAAGTCAACATTCAGTCAGTTCAACAATTCAGTTTCTGGAGAAAATAAAAGGACTCATGGTTGTGGTGTGTTCTCTGAGCTGGATTGTTTAATCGTGAAGCTTTGATCATCTCGCTAGACGAAATCTACATCAATGCACGTGGATAATTATGGACATGAATTTAATTTCGACAATCTAATGTAGAAATTTTGGACAGAGGAAACACAAAGATTATCAGGCAGTTCCCACAAGCTTGGCATTCAGATCGGTCAGTCAGCAATCAACATATGCATAGACATAGACCGAATCTATCAATCAATAAGAATAATAATAGACGACAGAAAGGTCAGAGGTGAAGCAGAGGAACAGCCAACAGGAAAGTCAATGAGTCAATGACAGTCAATGACACTACAATCAGAGGAAACTACCAATCACAGACCACATCGTCAGAGCAAACCACTAAATCACTCACTAATGGAGAGATATTGACAGGTAGCTCACTTCATACTGAAGTTAGTATTGATGATGTCGCATTCTAGAAAGACGATGAAAGCTTCACGACTAAATAACCCAGCTCAGAGAACACAATGCAACCAAGACCATTCATCTGGGCTACTAATATTCTCCATTATTTTAAAAGAACTCAAAATAAACAACTATAAAAAAGTGTTGTCTTTCGATGTAACTGCACTTTTACAGCGTCACCCTGGGTCTCATTGAAGAAACAGTAACCATATTTCTCATAGACAACTAGAATCTTCAAAAGTATACAAGAAATACTATTGTAGATCTGGCAAAAACTAATCAACCTGTTTCACGATGTTCTTTCAGATCAATGCCAAGATCTCTAAACAAACCAGAGGAAATCTCATCCCCTTAATGATATCTCAGCTGATTGCGGAATCAACGATAAAGAGGTTAGAATCAACAATCATTCCAATACTGAACTTAATAACGTTTCTTACTCCTGTGAAAAAACTGTTATCATTATCAAGATAAGCCAACTTGGAGAAGACATTCAACCTCATTTACCAAACTTTAAAGGTATTCAATTCACAAAAGAAGAATAGGAAAATAAGGAGACTGCGTTCTTATCCATAAAACACACACACACTGAACCTTTACAGATTGAAGTGTACAGAAAGGTGATACATGCACACGCATCAACTTTTGAACTACAATAGAAACAACTTAACAACTCATAAGAATGGCTGTATATAACCATTATTCATACATGTCAAGATTCCTTGCCGCAATCGATAACTACAGAAGTTAGAAGAAAACCAACTTTACAAAGTGTTCATTGTCAGTGACTATCCAATCAACTTCATCAAGGAATACTTATCAACAGAACACACTTCAGGACAACTACCCTAGCATACAAACCAAATCACTCTACCACACATCAAAGATTCTTCATAAAGTACAAGCCAATTGCTTGATCCATTCGGTATCAATTAAATCCGTGTAGAATATCTCCTACAAGTTGAAAGATCCATTAACCAACGAAGACAAAACAAATATTGGTTTCAGGTTGGTATTTATCATGAACTGGCAGCAATTACTGGAACATTGGGAACCTGAGAGCACTGAACAGCTGCTTCGTTCTGGTTTGAAACTCATCAGCAGTGAGCACCTGTGACCCCACCAGGAATCGAACCCATGACCAGCCCGTTACT